CAGGCACTGATCGTTTCATTTTTTAATCTTTCATGGGATGTGTTCACTGGCTAGACCAGCATTATCACCAATCCCTAAGTATCAACCATATTGCTGAGGGTCTGGAGTCACATGTATGCCAGAACAGGTAGGCTCATCAGTTTCCTTCCCTAAAGGACATTAGTGAGCCAGATGGACTTTCATGGCAATTGACAATGGTTTCATGATTGTCATTAGACCCTTAATACTATTTAATTATAAATTCAAACACAGGTCCCTGAACATTACTGGGTGTCTGGATTAATAGTCTAGTTATCATCCCAAGAGGCCATTGCTTCTGCTGGTCACAGCCAGGAAATCTGAGAATGATCCATTTGTTCCTACTTTCCGCTTTCTGCCTTTTAAAAAATCCTCAATCCACACTGGTCTAGTACCCCCAATTCTGTGCTCTTTAATTTTGTTTACCAACTTCCTGTGTAGGAATTTGTCAACAACAATCTGAAAATTCAAATATATCACATCCACTGATTTCTCTCTTTTGACTCTGCTAGTTGCATCCTGAAAAGGTTTGTCAAATACGATCTACCTTCACAAATCCATGTTAATCCTGTCCAATCAGACAGTTATTTTCTAAATATCCAGTGATCATATCCTTTATGATAGATTCTAATATTTTCCCTTCTACTGATATCATGTTAACAGATCCGCAGTTCCCGGTTTTCTCTCTCCCCTCTTTTGTAAACGGTGTGGTTATATTTAAAACCTTTCAATTCACATGCAAAAGACAAAGTAGAATACATCAGGAAGCTAGACAGAAGTTAATAAATGAGTTTCTATAAATATTTTTAAAAAGGAAAGAACATTGGTCCTACAGAAAGCGAGCCATGAGAATTAATAATGAAAAATAAGGAGATGGTAGAAGAATTGAACTGGTATTTTGCATTGGTCTTCAATATGGAAGATACAAGTAATCCCAGAAGCAGCTACAAATCATGAAATAAAAGAGAGAAAAGTAGTAATGAGTACAGCTGAAGACGGACAAGTACCCAGGTCCTAATGGACTTCAACCTAGGGTCTTAAAAGAAGTAGCTAGTGAAATTGATGATGCATTGATTTTAATTTTCCAGTACACCCCAGATTTGGGTAAGGTCTCAATAAATTGGAAGACAGCAAATTTAATTTCCCTATTCAAAAGGGAGAACAGAAAACAGGAAACTGCAGACCAGGTAGCCAAGCCATGGGTAAAAAATATTGTTAGAGCAATTATAGCAGAGCACTTAGGTAACTTCAAGGTAAGGAAAGATGTTGTGAAACCTTAAAGAGGCCATTGGTGGCATGGTGGCTCAGTGGTTAACACTGCTGCCTCACAGCACCAGGGACCTGGGTTCAGTTCCAACCTTGGGCAACTGTATGTGTGGAGTTTGCATGTTCTCCCTGTGTCTGTACAGGTTTCCACCAGGTGCTCCAGTTTCATCCCACAGTCCAAAGATGTGCAAGTTAGGTGGATTGGCCATGCTAAATTGCCCATAGGGTTCAGGGATGTGTAGGTTAGGTGCTTTAGCCATAGGAAATGCAGAGTTACAGGGATAGGGTAGGGTTTGGGTCTGGGTTGGAGGTTCGGTGTGGACTTGTTAGGCCGAATGACCTCTTTCTACACTATGGGGATTCTACGATGATTCATTTACAGATATTCTATTCCCCATAAGCAACTTTATTTTTATTCTATCTGAATTCCCTCTTATGTTCCCATGCTCCCAACAAGCAAGTTTGAACACTTTCCAACAATACTAACAAATCTCACTCCAAGGCTATTAGTTCCAATCCTGCTGAAGTGTAACCCGTCTTCTTCATACTCGTCCAATCTGCCCCTGAACTAGGTCCAATGCCCTAGCAGTGTGAAACCCTCTCCCCTACACTATTTGTTTCAAGCCATGTATTCATATGCTCCATCTTCCTATTTCTGAGCTCACCAGTACATGGTACTGGGAGCAAACCTGAGATTGTTTCCTTAAGTAGAGGTCCAGCTTTTCATTCTCTCATTTGGTTCCCTAAATTCTGCATTCAGGATATCACCTCTCCTTTGACACGACATTGTGAACCATAAATTTTGACTCTTCATCCTCCCCCCAAATGAATGTCCTGCAGTTGCTCTGTGACATCCTGGATTCTGACACCAGGAAGACACCATACTGTTCTGGAGTCATGTCTATGGCCACAAAGTTGCCATCTGTTTCCCCTATGTATTGAATTGCCTACCACTATTGCCCTTCAATTCTTCTTCCTCCCAGCCTGTGCAGTTGAGCTATTTGTGGTGTCCTAAGCTTGGGTCTTGCTCCATTCCTCACAAGAATCAATGTCCCCACCCGTGTCCATATTGGAAAACTGGTTAGTGCATGAGATGGATACTAACAGAACAAAGACAGAGACTGACAATAACAAACCAGTTACTGGGTAATAATACAGATGAATTGGAGAATGTGTTCAAAAATTTAGCTTTGTACAGTAGCAGTACATGCCCCTGTGATGGAACAGCTCCACTTACTAAATAAAACTGCCCTAGGCAACAAAAGAGTTGAGAAGTATCGTAAAAATAAGGAAAGAGTGTGCAAAAATGCAAAGAATAGTGTAGATCTGGAGACCTGAAAAGATATAAAGTGCAGCTTAGGATGACAAATATAATAGCAAGATCTCTGGGAATATGAAGAGAAACATTCAAGGCATATCAAGATTAATTGAAAACATTTTCACAACAATATTAGAAAAGATAGTTAATGGTAATGTGGGCCCTCTAGTGGGTAATGTTGCAAATTAAAATATGGAAAAATTAGAATTGTTGAATAATTAATTACTTTTTGCCAGTCTTGACAGTAGAATAAGTGGATTAAAAAATTGACATTCCAGAGAAACTAATATCAAATCAAGGACTGGAATGCACTACACCCGAATGAGAAAATTATATTTTAAGAAACAGTGCTGGACTTCCAAATCCCAAGACCTGATCAATGAATTCCACAACAGAGGTTTCAAGGAAATAGGAGAGGAATTCACACTTTTCTTTAGTTATAATCTCCCAAAGCTCTCACAATTCAGCAATGGCCTGTCACATTCAAAGCTCACAAAGATAAATTAATAATATAAGAAATATGAGTGGGAAAACCAGGGATATACCAGATGTTGGTCTAACATCTGCCATGAAGAAGTTATCAAAATCTAAAATTAAGGTCAGCCTAAGCACCTAGAGATATTGGCACTGATTAGAGAGAACTAACAAGGATTTGTAAAGCCCAGTTCACGACGAATTAAACTAATTGAATCTGTTGAGGAAATAACTGAAGTAAATGGGGTTCAGTTAACTCTGTTGGCTGGATGTTCAGTGTGTAGTACAGAATGCCAGAATAGTTCTTGTTCCAGGTGAGATAGACTTGAGATGTACTTCCTCTCCCTGCCCTTCTAAGTGCAGAACAATGACAAATAACCACTAACAAAAATTCCAAAAAGACTCAAAAAAGGAGTTAGATCAAGGGAAGAGTTCCTTAATACATCAGCTAGGGAATAAAATGCTGCCATCAAAAACTATGGGATCAATGCATTCTATGCCAATTGTCCACTCATTCTCTGTTAACAGTGAATGCCCCCCCAACTGTCATTGCTTGTATACATTTCCTTTATATTCAGCCATTGTATCATAATCTAAACTATTGATTTGTAATAAACAGACTAAACTATATTAAAATTACTTACAAATAGTTGATTGCCAACTCAAAATTTTACAGATTTCAACTGATGTCATTTACGTCATCTTCCAGAAGGTATTCAATGACATTCCATGTAAGATCCTGTAAACTAAAACTAAAGCTCGTGGAATTAAAGATAAATTGTTGACTTGATTGACCAAGTGTTCCAGAGTTCTAATTCACACCAGGTTCTGTGTTTTTTGTTCATTCACAGGACGAGGGCGTCGCTGGCTAGGCAGCATTTATTACCCATCCCTAATTGCCCAGAGGGCAGCAATGAGTCAACCACATTGCTGTGGGTCTGGTATCACATGTAGGCCAGACCAGGTAAGGATGGCAGTTTCCTTCCTTAAAGGACATTAGTGAACCAGTTGGGTTTTTCTGACAATCAACTATGGATTCACAGTCATCATTAGATTCTTAATTCCAGATATTTATTGAATTCAGATTCCACCATCTGCCATGGTGGGATTCAAACCCGGGTTCCCAGAACATTTTCTGGGTCTCTGGATTAACAGTCGAGCAATAATACTACAAGGCCATCGCCTTCCCCTAATCACACATCACCCCTTTCAGACTCACAAGGGCTCTCAATCAGCACTGATTTTCAAATCTCTCCATGCTCTTCTCCCTCTTTGCACTCTGTCTCTGCACTCCTGCAGCTCCACACCCTCTGAGATATCTGCTATTGCTAACACTGCTCATTTACATGTCCCTAATTTTAATCACTGCACCATTGGTGGCCATGTCCTTAGCTGCCTAGACCCTAAACTTTGGAATTCCCTGTCTAAACATCCCTGCGTCTCTTTCTTCCTTTAAGATTCTCCTAATAAAATAATCTAGGATTGGGGTGGCTCCATCTTTGTGATGTCTCACTATTGTAACTGTGGAATTGGGGTTCCTCCCTGGTGTATCAGGATTAGAATCTCTCACTAGAATATCCATGGATTTCAGTTGGTGCCTTAAGAAACCCATACAGTTGTATTAATTCCCTGCTATGTCCGTGCAGATGCAGGTATTTTATTTATGACAGGCAAATAATATACTGTCCCAAGTTGTTGAGTGCTTGCATGGACAAGAATGTTTGCCTCTCTTTGATCTGATTCATTCGACAACTTGTTTTTGCAAGCTCTGATATTTAAAAAATGCCTGAAGAAAATCTATCATTTGTCTAAAGGAAGAATTATGCTCCATTTGCTTTATAACTCCTCCTTCAGGATTGATAAAATAAATAGAAGAGTGAACTGTAGAAAATAAAAGGAAATTAAGAGAAATTTGACTGTGAAGATAGCAGCATCTGGAATGAATGTGAAAATGTGCCTAGAAGCATTGGTAAATTCATTTTGATTGTGTTAACGTTTGAGAGTTAATCTGAAGAGTTAATCTGAAGAGACAGATTGATGAAAAGAAGGAAGAGAGTTAAAGATTCCATAGGTGTATAGGAAATGTTTGTAAGGAAAAACATAACCAAAGTAAAAATCTGGTTCTATTAAAGGTGAACTATGAAAATTATAATGGAGAATAAGAAAATTGCAGACATTTAACAAGGACTGTAATTTACATCTATGTCCTCAACAGAAGTAACAAAAACAATCTGGAAACAGTGGAGAACCTGTAGTCAAGATAATAAAGAACTTGAAGCAATTGTGTTAATACAAACATAATGCTGGATAAATTATCTTTCTTCGTTAGTTGTCTACTTGATGTCAGGTCTAACTCATAGCACTATATTCCCCGCACAGGGGAAGGCAAAAAGGCAGCTTCTGAATCCACCCCAGTCAGAACAGGCTGTTGGCACCAATTTCATTCACATTGGCTGTCTAGTCAATTAAGCCAGGTTATTCTTCCCTGAGGAGCACTGTAGGACCAGATGGATTTTTTACAACAATCATTGCTTGGTCAGCAGTAGACCAGTTTTTTT